GTACGTGTGTTGAACACGGAGGTGCCATCCGTTCGGCATTGGGATCATCGGTGATTTAAATCACGACGAGTACGACTCCATCAACCCCGTTCACTTGAACGCTTCCGCTTAGCGATCTACAAGGGTATGTAGATGCACTCTCCTTCCCCTCGTTGCTAGATTACTCCATAGATTGATCTTGGTCATGCGTAGAAAATTTTGAATTTCTACTACGTTTCTCAACAAAAACTTGCAGAGGAGTCTCAAAATCATCCATCAAGTTCATCTTTGCCAGGAAACAGACATGTCATATACAGATTTCACTCGGGCTATTTCACATACCGAACTTGAGCATATACGCACCAGCCATCTTGGAGATTCTGGAATGAAGGATAGACAAGAAATCGACGATGTAAAAGGCAAGGTTCCTAAAAAGAATGGATGCCAGAGAGTTGTACCAGAAACGGGTTTCAAAAATTAACTGAAAACTTTCGCAAAAAAGACAGACTAAATGCAAACTGGATGCAGATGAAGTGAAGTTACATACTGATGAAACCCACAGATCTCAACTCCCACCAACCATGGAGCTCCCGTGCACGAAATTAAGACAACAGTGGCACACCTTACTGACAGAAAAGTAGATCAAATCGGGAGTGGAGACTGACCTCCTTTGCCGGTGCCGGACGCTTTTGTCCTTCCCCTACCAGCAGCTCGACCTCTCAAAATCGGGTCAGTTTTTTGGGCAGACGCCGCCAAATCTAACAGACAAAAAATTGACTCTGCACCGATTGAAAAATAGCTTAGCTGTTGTTTAGGAGAACTGTTATGTTAAGATTATACATGCATCTACCTGGCTATGGATCCAAGGTGTATTGAGCAAGTTATGACGCTGAACACAAAAAAGTTCAGCGTTTACAGTTACAAAATTTCAAATCGATCTGAGATCAATATTACCAATGGGACACAAATGTTGTTCTGCTTCTGCCTGTAATACTCTGTATATACAGTATAGCCCCCACTGTAATCTGTCCCAGCTAGCTTGTTTTTTAAACTACCGAATATGTAGAATCGAAGCTGAAAGTTGTTCTGCATCGCCTGACTAATTCATGCCTTGTGTTGCACAGAGTCGATGGATCCGAGTCATTGTCAGATGAACAGGTTGCGATCTCCGTCGCCTGAACCTGGCGTGTGCAGATGTTGTTGCCTCCCCTACAAGAAGACAATTTTAATCTACAGTTTTGGCTGGCTGGCTCATGCCTGTGTAGACTGTGTTGTTGTTGTTTTTGTTGTTCCTCTCATGTTGTAGTTGTCTGGACCCGGGATTCAGTCGATGTAACATGGATCGTGTGGGTGTGGCTTTTCCCTGCCGAAACTAAGAATGTGGCTCTGCAATTTAAACAACAGTTTGTGATACAGTGCCTGTAAGATGAGGGTGCAAAACATGGTACAGTTTTCAGAAGCTACTTGTTTTGGCAGTGACATTGAGTGGATTGTTGACACTTGTGTGACAGGGCTCCACTAGGGCCTATCTGGTTATATTAGACGGCCTTATCCCTGTTGTGTCTTTGCCAATGGTATGCAGGATTATTATACATCAGTGTATGGTGTCGTCGTGTTGACGTGGCCCGTTGTTAGAAAGCCTAAGTTAACTAAAGCGCGTGATTAGATATGCAGCAAGTAGGAATTAAAGAAAGATTTAGCATGTGAGGTCGATGCCATTCCTCTCGCGTGTGGTTTTGTCGTGGACCGCTCGTTGATTTTCTATCTATTTTCTGGAGTACCATTAGATTAGTACTTCCTTTGTAAAGAAATATAAGAGTGTCTAGATCATTAAAGTAGTGATCTAAATGCTTTTTCTCAGGGCTAAATATTTTTATATTTCTTTACAAAAGCAATAGTAGGCTTTGTTGATGGTGTGACCAAGGAAACGATTCTTATCCCAGCCGATAGGTAGATAGGTAGATAGATAAGATCATAGCCAACTGGGCATAACACTAGGTCTCCCAAGCCTGAAAAACAAGCATGGCTGAGGCCGAGCTTATTAAAAAATAATGCTCCTGCTTTGCAAGAGCATGGAGTGATTGATTAAATGGGCATAGCACTAACAGTGGTGGAAGGCTGATGAGATGAGATAAGCTGAGCACAGATCATCTGCAGGAAAATGAATGGATAGCGCCACCGCGCGAGCAGAAAACCTTCACGAGCAGAAAACCAACGGCGCTTGCAGTTGTACGTGTTGGAAATATGAGCAATTTATTGAATGATTTTATTAAAAGAAATATTAAATGAACCATGACTAATATAGTAGAGATAAAACAAGTCATGCGTTCTAACAGAGAGAAGGAAAATAGCTTCTGCATATATGAACCGTAGCTTATCATATCTATAGCAGACAGTAGAACTAGTTGTATATATAAGGTAGAACCTAACATATTTAGGGCAAGTAGTAGTATGAGAAACTGTGGCGGGATATCTAACAGAAAGAAGAAAACATACATGACAGTAGCAGCAGTAGCACTAGACTTGGGATCGGTGTCCTCGTCAGCCATGTCGTCGAGGAGGTTGTCGACGTCGGGGAAGTAGTCGTCGGAGTCCGGGGCGTCCGTGACGAAGGAGTCAGTCAGTAGTCGCGCGGAGCGCTCCCCAAAAACCTTATCACCTTTTTCCCGTACAGGACTCAAAGAGGTGCGATTTCGGAGGCCTTGGCAAAAATTTAGACATCGGCTCGGCTCATTCCTGCAACCCGCGGCGCGTCGTGCTGAGGCGGAGGAGTGCGCGTGGATATCCCTCTTGTTGTTCTCATGCTCATACAAGTGGGGAAAGAACCTCCCTTATAAGAATGTCCAACTCCCACTAAACTAGCAATATGGGACTAAACTTTAGTAATATCCTTTGCCTTGCACAAATGAACTAAGTGGGCTTTTAGGATTTATTAAGAATTTCTGAAATAGTTATTGGGCTACCCAAAATGAACTAAATTCCCGCAGTGCGGAGGCGGAAAGGACATTTTTCTGCTCCGGCGATCGAGGTGCGCGCTTTGACCGAGCAGAGCGCTCCCTCGAGCAGAGTAGCCGTCCCCGTCGCCGTCACGGGAATTAAAACGCCTCGATCCTCTCCGTCCGTCAGATCGGATCGTACGATACGGAACCTTTCACCCGGCCGGAAGTTTTAGCATCTGATTCCGCCGGCGTTCGCGTCCATCGATTTCTTATGCATTTCTGCCCGTACAAAAAAAGACGGAATCCCTTTTTCCACTTCCTTTCGGCCCGCCGTGTGCTTTTCGTATAGCCTCTTCTCTTCTGCCGCCTGATGAGAACGTAATTAATAATTAATTAATGGAGCTAAGTATGTCGTACGTCCGCGTGAGTTTCAGATGTTGATCCCGAAAGAGAAAAAAGAGTATTGGATTGACGCTTGACACGATCGTACTAGCCACAACGGCCGATCATGCTTAACATTTTGTCATCACAGATGAAAAGCCAATAATCATGCATGTACATACCCAAGCTCTGAGCATCTACAACCCGACTTGGCAAATCCGACGGGTCCGTGGTAGCGCCGGCGGTCCCTCATATCTTGTGCCGCACATCCGCATACCTCAAATACGGATCCTCAAATCCATGCACGTCGATTATACGGTACAAGTTGTCTAAATTCAACAGTTCAAAACAAAGCAAAGCAAATCGTAATTCAACAAACTAGACATGCCAAAATGAAATCCATGTCCGAGCATGACGGATGACTCACTTATCAGATCACTAGTCGGACGCCATCCATGCCGCCAGCTCCGAGACCATGCTCCGCCTGCTCCGCTGCCGCCCTCGCCGCCTCGTACCTCCTACACTCGGACAGAAGCAACAACATACCGACTCTTGTTCTACCATTCCATCGAACAAGGCATGGGCAGCCCGGACGCCGCCGGTGCCTGTGCTCATCCTCGCCGAACGAGCTGCAACGAGTGGCATACGTCCACCGTCGGCATCTGCGTGGGCGAAAAGCTCTCCGGAATGGCCCAGGCGGCCGTTGGATCCTCCTCTGTGCCAACGTGGTCTAACGGCGTAATCCGGTTCGGCGCTTGGATGGAATGGGTGCAGGGGAGGGGGCAACTACTCATCCATGTCCGCACCTCCCTGTGCCACCGCCGCCGCTTCCCTCTCTTGCTGTCGATGTCGCCGCATCTTCCGGGCGACGTTGTCTGCCTTGCACGACGGAGTCGAGGAAGGGACGAGGCGGACGCAGTCTCCATCGCGGCGGTCAGAGACGGGCTGGACGACATCTATGACGGTGGATCGGGACCGATGGTGAGAATGGAGAACAAGGGTGGCGGACGGCGAGGCTCGGGCGCGGGAAAGGTAGAAGGATGGCGGCGAAGGAGGAAGGATTTGATGGATTTGGTGCAATTTATGGTGAGGCCAGGCTGACGAGTCCTACATCCCCGCCTCATATCTGCCCCATATTTAGGCTGAATGGGGTGCCGGTCAGTCCAAGCGTTTGAAGCCCGTTTCGATCGGATTGTTGTCACCGGTCAGCTGCTCGGGCGTTTGAGGCGAGTTTGGGAGGCCGGCTCTGACCTTACCGGCTTTAGATGCTCTGAGCTTCCACTGTTGTGACCGTTACAACCGGTCAGCGTCTTGTGTGCGCGCGACAGCTTGCACGAGGAGAGGACCGACCGTTGCCATCGCCCACCTCCCGCCCCAACGGCTCCGTAGCCACCAGACCCGCGAAATCTCCCAAACACCCTCACGTCTGTCTAACAGCTCGCGCGCGCTACGGCGATAGCGGCTGCTTTGCTTCCCCGCGTTGGCGTGCGCGTACCTCGCCCTTCACGCCGTCGCCGCCCTCTATCCTTGTCCGTCCTTTTCTCTTCTCCCTATTTAGTCCCCGACCTTCCTTCTCCATCCATTCCAGCCATTGCCAATCCCCACCTCCTCACTCCTCGCTCACACAGGAGACTGCCTGTTCTCTCCACATCTCCATCTCCTACAAGCTCAAGCACATCAGTACCAAGGCTGCCAGCCTCCATGGACGCTGTCCAGTCTTCGTCGCCTTACTCGCCGCCATCGCTGCGCCACAAGCTGCGGACCACCGTCTGCGGCTGCTTCGGCTCCCCGTCGTCGCCGGGAAGCAGCGGGGAGAGGCCGCACACCGGGGGCGGCAGGGCCAGGTGGAGGCGGCGCGTGGCGGCCGCAGGGGAGTTCAGGTACGACCCGCTCAGCTACGCGCTCAACTTCGATGATGGCGGCTGCGACGACGGCGACGCCGACGCAGAGGACGCCGCCTTCCGGCACAGAAACTTCAACTCGCGCCTGCCTCCCTCGCCGGTGCCGGCCTCCCGAGCCGTCGCCATCGCCTGAAGTCCTGAACCGTAGTGGCGATCGTCCTTTTAACTTTTCTTTTAGCTTCCGTCTCCCTGTTTGTTTTCTCTTCTCCTCCGAGCGAGACTGGATCACTGCATCTGTAAAAGCAGTTTATTTATACGGCCGGGGAAACGTACCGAGGCGAAGAGTAGCAGTAGCATCATGTAGTTATTATACATATAAGAATCAGTCAGTCCAATTTTACTGTTCCATATATTCTCAATGCGAGCCAACAGATACGTGTACACGGAGATGAGGAATTGGTTTGGTCGGGAATTTCTTTTGGATGATGAACTGTGATGTGAAGGAAGTTCACCATGGGTTGGTGGTGGGTGGAATCATCTCCCGTCGGCCGTCGCCATCCACCCTGTGGGCTGCGCGTATCCAACCATGTACAAACAGTTCTACGTGGGTAAAAGGGTGCTGCAAAGGATTAGCGAGTACTGAACAGTCAAAAATATCCAACCAACCACACACACAGCAAACGACTCCGAAGAAGAACCAGGTCGTGCAGTTTGTCACGGCTCACGGGTGGAGCTTTCGCGCTAAGAAAAATCTTCCTCTGCACTTCCCTTTCTTTCAGAACTTCCCTTTCTTTTAGAAAAACAGGGGCAAATCGCGGTTGCATTCAAACTACGACCGGCCTCGGCTTTCACTCATGTTTTGTATTCACCCCAAGTTGATTTCTACCTCGTCGATAGGATGCCACGGGTCTGGGTCCAAGGTAGCACGGGGCGTTTCCCGGTCGACATGCCACAATGACATGTGTCGCACTGCTTTGCGGTGGGCATGTTTATCGACTTACAAAGCCTCTTTGGTGATGGTGCTTTTCTGGATCTGAGACATCTGACAATGGTGGAGGCTCGGCGTCCCTTCTAGCGTGCGCTGAATTTGGACAGGAGGTCTTTTTGGCCGAGGAAATCATCATGTACAATACGTGGATTGATCGTGTCATGATGTACTACTACTAGTACGTATGTGATCAGGCGATTGATCAAGCCGTCGGCCGCGGCCGATGCACACAAGCGATGATATCAATTTTAGGAAACACACGAAACTACCCCGCTAATTAACGGCTGAGATGATTCAATATTACTCGGTTCCAGAGGTAGTATGATGTACCGTAAAAAATCTCTTCAAACAACTTAGCTGTTGTTTAGGAGATCAACATTACCAATGTTAAGCTGAAATACATGGCTCTACCTGGCTATTGATCCAATGTGCATTGCGCAAGTTATGGCGCTAAGCACATAAAAGTTGAGTGTTACAGTTACATCATTTCAAATTCAGCTAAGATCAACATTACCAATGGGACACAAATGATGTCCTGCTTCTGCCTGTAACCCGTCCCATCTTGCTTGTTTTTTGAGCTACAGAATGTGTACAATCTGGACTGAAAGTCCTTCTGCATGCCGGACTAACTCCTGCCTTGTGTTGCACAGAGTCGATGGGTCACAGTCATTGTCAGATAAACACCCTCGTCGTCAGAGGTCGAAGCAGTTGTGGTTTCGGTCGCGTGGACTTGGTGCGTGCAGATGTGGTCGCCTCACCTACAAGAAGGCATGGTTTTAATATACAGTTGGCTCACTTGGTGTAAGAGCATTACTAGTAGAACCCCTAAACCCGCAAACCCTTGTAGCAGTTTTAAGGGTTGAGAAGTGCCACTTTTTGATATTTTTAAAGGTTGAAAAACAGGGGCAAAGACTAGAACCCTCAAACCCAACCCTTAAACTGCTTTAAGGGTTGGATTTGAGGGTTCTAGTCTTTGCCTCAACCCCAACCTTTAAAACTGTCATTTCATATGTCACATATTTCATCATATGACATATCATAAATTCCATCACATTTGACATAAAACAATAATCATTCTAGTTATTATTACAACACCGAATAAAACAATAATCATTCAAATTATTACAACAATGTTTGAGCAAATTACATAATTGTTCGAATCAAATAGGACATAGAAAAGTAAAACAAAGATACATCATGGACCAATGCGCCGCCCATCCAACTGCCAGTGGTGCTCTATTAGATCATCCCGGAGCCGACCATGAGTGGTTGCATCCTCAATCTCACGATGTGCTTGAAGAAAAGCGTGTATGCGAGAAGGATTTCTTTCCGGTTGCACACGGGTACCAACATTGTCATAGAAACAAGGGAGGTTTAACCCTCTTTCATCCTCTAGGATCATGTTGTATAGAATCACACAACATTTCATGATGTTCATCAAGGTTTTTTTGTCCCAAAACCAAGCTGGACCACGAACTATGGCAAACCTTGCTTGCAAAACACCGAAAGCTCTCTCAATATCCTTGCGGGCTGCCTCTTGTGCCTTGGTGAAATGAGCCTCTTTTCTTGTTAAGGGCACCCCATTTTTCTCCTTGATGGACTTCACAAGAGTTGCCCATTCGGGATAGATGCCATCGGTGAGATAGTATCCCATTGAGTACTCATTGTCCATGATTTTGTAGTTGCAAGCTGGAGCATCCCCAGAAATTAATCTTTTGAACAAAGGAGATCTATTGAGGATATTGATATCATTGAGTGTTCCCGGCAACCCAAAGAATGCATGCCAAATCCATGTGTCCTGAGATGCTACGGCCTCAAGCACAATGGTAGCATCACGGCTTTTACCGCAATACATTCCGTGCCATGCCTTTGGGCAATTTTTCCACCTCCAATGCATGCAGTCAAGACTACCTAGCATCCCCGGCCATCCCCTTTTTTCATTCATTTCCATTAATCTCTTTGTATCTTCCTCGTTTGGTGCCCGAAGATACTGCTCACCGTACAGCCGAATGACCAACTTGGCAAACCTACGGACTGACTCCGTGGTTGTATCTTGCCCAATGCGAAGATACTCGTCGGTATAATCCGCGGATATGCCATAAGCGAGTACCCGCATTGCCGCTGATATCTTTTGATATGCACTAAACCCCATGATACCGGCGGCGGATCTACGACGTTTAAAGTAATAGGAGGCGGCCTCACAATCGTTGACAATCTTCACAAACAAACTACGCTGCATTCGGTACCTTCTGCGGAAGAGACGAGGAGGGTATGTAGGTACCTCCGCGAAGTAGTCTTCCATCAAATGCTCATGTCCGAGAGCGCGGTTCCGGTAGATGGTGACTCGCCCCATCTTCGACCCTCTCCTCTGATCCATCAGCTTCACGCGGTTTTCAAAGGATTGCACGTCGATGAGGAGGCTCATCATCTCGACGTCATTGTCTTGCAACAACTCGTCAATGTCCGACTCGTCGGATGACGACCAACCCGACGAATCGGATAACGAGTCCATGTCGTTGTTGTTCACCTCCATCTACACAATACAACAAACAATAAATTGTGAGTGCCAACAATAAATCAAAAAGGAAAAAAATAAAACA